CTCTCTCTCTCTCTCTCTCTCTCTCTCTCTCTCTCTCTCTCTCTCTCTCTCTCTCTCTCTCTCTCTCTCTCCCTCCCTCTCGCTCTCCCTCTCTCTCTCTCCCACGCGACACGCGCACCTCCGCCCTCTAGCGCTAACTCGCGCGGCCCTCGGGATTTATTTTACGGCGCAGGCACGTCGCGCGTCGCTCCGCCGGCCTCTTAAACGGGGCGCTTGCTTTCGGAGTTTCGGTATCGGGGAGGTGGGGGCAGGTCCTTGGCGTCGGCGCCGAGGATCCGAGCCTCCCGCGTCTCACACACTGTCAGCGCCGAGGCGACGCGGCCGCGCGGCTGCGGCTAAAAAGACAAGAGGGAAAGAATGACGAAGCGCTGCTGCACTCGGCTCGCCGCGGTCTCATTCCGAACTCCGTCAGGACTCCGTCTCTCTCGCACTCGGCGCGGCGCGCGCGGCCCGTCGGGGTGCGAGGGAGACGGAACAACGAAGCACTGTTCGGAACGAGCCAGCTGGGCCGTGCTGGGCGGAGACACCCGGTGGAGGCTGGTGCGGCTGGTGCCACCTTTGGTCCTTTGGTCGTGCAGGCGGTGACTATTATTAGTGCGGGCGATGCCATGGTGCTGGCTGCTGGCACGGGCGGGGGAGGGCGGAGGGGCGGTCGCTGTGACAAATACGCTCTGCCTTTCCCGTCTGCGTGGCCCGCCCGGTCCACCAGCCCGGCGGCGTGGCGGCGTGGGTGGGTGGATGGCGTGGCGCGACGCGCTTAGAATAGTTGAGAAATGATGGTGCCGAGGGCAGGGCGGCCGGGGCGGGGCGGGCAAGGGGCGGGGACAAGAGGGTAATGAGGTCCAGGGCGTGGTGGCCGCCCCGCCTCGCCCCGCGTCGCCGGGGTGCACAGCCAGGAACTCGCGCCGGTCACGCTACGTTAGTGTGGTGGCCGCGTCCCCACCGCCCTGGCCGCCCCGGGCGTCGTGGACCGCAGGCAGGCAGGGCAGGGCAGGCCCCCCCGGCGGCGCACCCCCCGCGAGTCTGTAAGTCTGCGGGTCGGAGCTCGGCCCGAAGAACGCCCAGCCAGCCGCAGCCTCGCGCAGCCTGCACCTGTTGCCTCGCGGCAGATGAGCCGGAAGCCCCGCCCCGCCGGGCCCCGCCCCGCCCCGCGCGCCGCCCGACACGGCGCTGGCTCTGGCTGCTGGCTGGCTGGCTGGCTGGCTGGACGCGCAAGATTAATGTTGCCGAGTTCCACCCGGTGACCGCGCAGCGCGGCGCAGCGCCCCGAGACGGCCTGGCCGGGCCTGGCCGACGTCGACGTCGGCCTCCCCTCTCGGACCGCCACGGCGCGCCGCGCTGCGCCCTGGGTGCCGTGCCGGTGCCAGCGGCAGTGTTGTGACAATGGCAGGAGCTCCTTTGTGCCGCCGTCCACCCCGTCCCCCGTCACGCAGGCCGTCACGGCGCCGCGTGTGCCCTGCTTTGCGCTTTGCCCGTCCGGCGCGGCCCCGCTCGGCCCGGCCTCACGGCGTCACGGCGACGTCCCGCTGGCTCGGAATGCTGTCGCCCCGGGCCGCGCCGTGCCGCGCCGCGCTTTTGGACGCCAGGACCACCCGCCGTGGAGCACAGCTCACCTCGCGGCCGGGCGGCGGGGCCCGCAACACAACCCGTTGCCTGCCACTCCACGGGGCGTTTGTCTCTCTCACTCGCCCGTCATTAAAACGAAAAGGAAAATAACGGATGGCGCGACCGCGTCTCGCGAGGCGAGGTGACGCCGCTTCGCTCTCTCCCTCTCTCTCTCGCGCGCGCACGCGCGGTCACACGCACCAGCAGCGCTGAGCAGCTGTTGGATTTATAGGCAGTGTCCCTGTCGCCGAGGTTGATGCACCCCTTGCTGCAGCCGCTGCCTGCCTGAGGCCTGGCCTCTGCGTTCGGCCATGAGGTCGGCACTCTCCCGGTGGAGGGGCGTGGGGGAGGGGGAGGCTCGCCTTGTAACCTGAATCACGCACTCCGAGTGCTCCTTACAGGGCCCCGTCCGTCCCCAGCTGTCTCTCTCGCACGCAGCAGGGACGCCCGCGAGTGCGAGAGAGACAGAGAGCACTGTTCGGAGTGGCTCTGCGGGCAGGCCGCGGGGCAAGCCTGCGGCAGCCTCGGCCTCCCGGAGAGCAGGTGCTCGGCGCCTTGCGGTGGCCTTGCCTCGGCCCGGCTCGTTCAGACTTCCATCACAAAGTTTAATCCAGGCGGCCAGCCCAAGGCAGAGGCCAGGTGACGCGGAGTGGCGCGGAGTGGCAGCCTCTGAAAAGGGTTGCGCCGCCTGATGGGGCGCTTCGCCCCGCTCCACCGTGCTCCCCCAGCCACGCCACCCTCGTCGTAGCCTGGCCGAGACGCCGACGCCCCGAGACTCTTGGACTGCTGTCCGCCGCTCAGACCCATCTCAAGAGCCCATATCGCATCGCGTTTTCTTCCAGTGGACGCGCGTCCCTCCCTCTCTCCATTTTCCTTTGGCGATGAGGTGACGGCGCCGCACTGTGGGCCAGAAGACCGGTGGAGGCGGCCAAAACTCTAAACGTGTTTTGAGCTCCAGAGTCGCTGAACTGGACTTTCATTGAACGTGTGACCCCACCTATAGGTTCCTCGTTAGGAGAGCAATCCATTGGTGGAGTCAAACGTTCGGTTCGAGTCCTGTTTATTGACTCTGGCGCTCAAAACGCGTCTAGCATTTTGGCCGCCTCCAACGCGGTCCTCTGACCCACTGTGCAGTGGTGTGGCTCGCGCACGCAGAGGGAAATTCGTCCACGCGGCACTGGGGCGGTGCGTCGGTCTGCCTCCGTCCGTGCTGCTCCGTTCCCCGGATTCGCTTGGCGCGGTGCGGCGCCTCGCTCCGGCCCGGCCTCGGCAGCGGCACTGCGGCGGTGCGGCGGTGGCGCGGGTTGGTCTCTATTCAGTTTCCATATTCAGGCCTGGTTATAAAGCACTGTCACCTCGAATACGCCCTGGGCCGCGTCCCCCAGCGTCCCCTCGAGGCCGCTTCATCCGTCTCTGTACCCTCTCGCGCCCCCGTGGCGGGGTGGGGTGGGCCCTGGGGGCGTGTGCGGCGCGCGTCCTCGCCCAGGTGTTTGCCCTGCGTCCTCCGGAGCATTCAATTTATTTCGCAGCGTGACGTTCTCCGCCGCGCCCCGGTCTGGGTAGCGGCCCCGCCCCGCCGCGCCCCGCCGCGCCCCGCCGATGCAAGAAGGGGGACCTGTTGGTCGCGCCACCGCCACCCCCAACCCTTTCCTTCCTTCCTTCCGCGGGCAGGGCGTGGCGGGGCGTGGCGGGGCGTGGCGGGGCAGCCAGTTCGCCTCGCCCTTTTCGGCGCGCGGTTTGTCCTCGCTGCTCGCTGCCCTCCCCTGTCCTCGCCGTCTTCCTCGCTCCTCGCGCGTCGGACTTTTCCTCCGGCGGACCATTAAAGGAAACAACTTAGGGCGCGGCGCGGCGCGCGGCCCTCTCTGGCTGGACACGCGGCGGCGGGGCGGCGAGGCCGGCCGGTCCTTCCCTGCTGCCCGTGGCGTGCCTTTGCCTTCTGGGCCCTTTCAAGCCCCGCGCGCCGCGCCCTACGCCCTGTGCGCCCTGTGCGCCCTGTGTTCAGGGACCTGGAAAACTTGGGGGAGAGGGCCGCCCCGCCCCGCCCGTCCCCGCGGGACGCCGCTGATGTGACGAGAGTGCCGGGGCAAGGCAAGCAAGGCCCCGTGCCGTTCAAACAGCGGTTCGCTAGGAAATAAAATGGCACGACGCTCTGCCGCTCTCGCTCTCTCTCTCTCTCTCTCTCTCTCTCTCTCTCTCTCTCTCTCTCTCTCTCTCTCTCTCTCTCTCTCTCTCTCTCTCTCTCTCTCTCGCTCTCTCTCTCTCTCCCTCTCTCTCGCACTCGGCCGCGCTACGCCGCTGCTGGTACACCGCCCGGAGGCACTTGTTGCAGTGCTGCAGCGCGCGAATGGGTGGTCAGAGCAGAGAGAGAGAGGGAGAGAAAGGGAGGGTGGCTGCCTGCCAAGCCTGCCGAGCCGGGGACTAGTCGGGGGAAATGGTAGGCCGCGCAGATTCCACTCATGTCACCGTGCACACACACATGTGTGTGAGTGTGTGTGCGTGCGACCGACGCTCCTGGGGGTCCTTTGTGCGACTCTACACAATCGCAGCGGCGCAGCGCGTCAGTGTCAAGTTAATTAGGCAGCGCGAGCCAACGGCGGCCTGCTGATTCCGAACAGTGCTTTCGTCGCTGTGTCTCTCTCGCACCGCCCTGTGAGTGCGAGAGAGAGAGAGGGGGGGGGGTAGAGAGAGAGCCGCTGCCGTGGTGGGAATTGGAGCGCGAGGACTCGAGTCCGTTGGCCAGGTGCTTTAGCGTGCAGTGCCGGCACTGCCCGGCGGCTCGGAAAACGCGTCTTCGGCACGTCGTCGTCGTGAACCTGGTCCGAGTCGACGCGACGCCCCGCCCCGCCCCGCTCCGGCCAGCCTCAGCCCCAGCCTCAGCCCGCCCCAACCAGCCTGACCAGCAACTGGGTCGCGCGGAAACGTCGCTTCACTGAACTGGGCAGAGCGGCGTGCGCGCCTCCAAAGGGCTATTTTGGTGGAGGGTTGGCGACATGCCCCGCCACGCCACACCCCGCCACGCCGCTGGTGCACATTTCACGGCTCAACGTGTCGCACCCCTGCACAGGAGAGGGCCCTGGACGGAATCATCGGGAATCCCTCAAACGCCCTCAAACGAAGGCCGAACCGAACCACCGCGCCGCGGCGCGCGCAAGCTGGGAACACTGAACAGTGCAGCGAGGCATGACAGCCAGTGTAGAGGATTTGAATATCTAACGTGCCTGCCCGTGCCTGCCTGCAGCATTACTGCGTCGTTGTTGTAGATAGTTTTGTGTGTGTCTCTGTGTGTGTGTGTGTGTGTGTGTGTGTGTGTGTGTGTGTGTCCTAGAATTGTTGGCGGAATGCATTTTTCCGGTTTCGCTGTTCGTGTCTGACCGGGTCTTCTCTCCCTGTTGCAGGTTTCACGTTCCCCGGGATCAGGACGACGGGCTACCCTTCAGTCTTACCGAGCCAGTACGGGTGAGCTTCGTCCCTATTCTCTCTTACCTGTACATACGGCACGCCGTGTCCCCTCGGAGCCTCGAGCACCTGTACAAACTGCAATTGGTGTTGTGCTCACAGTGGATGTACGGACAAGGCCTCTTCGTTTTGTACCTGTCTGGCTCTCAGGCCGAGTCACACTCTGGAGGTGGCAACTAGTTTATTAGCACACGACGCGCGATTCTGAGAATTTTCCAAAAGGAGTCGGGAAAGGAACGAGCCGGGTGCAACCAGGAGGACGAAGCGACGTGGGGCTCGCGCGGTCGCTGTTCGCTCTCGCTTCCGAAACGCGCCGTGTGGCGCCACCTAGCGGCCGCGGCTGGAAGCCGGTCGGTGCGAGGGTGGCGCTACCCCTCGCGGGGCCCCCTGGGGCAGCCCCCGGGGCAGGCCCAGCCCCAAAGCGGAATCGCTTCCGCGTATTGCATTAGGGCTGCATTAGGGCCCATTCCGGCGCCTTTACGTTTACGGCGCCGAGGCCCCTTCTTTCTTTACCGCGTTCATTTCGGCTTTTTATTGGGAGATATCCCACCACAGCCACGTCATTAACATTGTGTTCTATTCTGCTGTCGCCTCGTCCCGCCCCGTGAGGCATGGCGAGGCGCGGCGACGCGCGGCGAGCGGAGAGAGACCTGCTCCCTCGCCTCATTTTCTTTTCCCTGTTGGCTCATCCCCAGAATGTGCCGCGTGGCGCCGCTGGGCCTCGTGACTCGGTGACTTCGTGACACCGCCTGGTTGCTCCCGTCGTCTATTTCCGCACCGATTGACATTCAGACAGAGGCGCTACGTCGGGAATACTTTGCTCCACAAACACCTCTTAGATTGTAAGAAGAGTTCACAGGAAGCGTGCAGAAAGTGTTTGAAATCTGTTTTAATCTCAATGGAATTACTCATTAGTGTTGACCCGCCGTTTGTGACGACATGTTTCTTTCTTCAACTTTTTTTTGGTCTTGTGGTGACAACTGGTCCTCTTTTCAGATAAAGATAGAAGGCTAACCCGGTGGGCAAAACCCTGGAGGTGAACCCCGGAGGTGAACCCTCGGAGGGCAAGCTCAGGGCAAACCCAGGAGGAGAGGCGTTGGGCATCGCACACAAGTATCATGTAAACAGAGCAAGCTTGTGTGGCGTGGGAGTGGAGTGACGTGATGGTGGTTTTCTTTTCTTTCGAGTTTATTTTTATTAATTGTTTTTGATCATAACTTTATGTTTTCTTTTTGTTTTACTTTTGGTTATATCATTGAGTTCTATTTAATTTTTCTTTGCACGGTGATGTTCGTTTGGTGTGGGATTTGCGGTAAATGGAAAGTGTATGGTTTTGCAATAATTCCAGATAACATTTCTCTCACAACTAAAGCGCTTCTTGGAGGAACGCGAGCTGTGCAGTGCTCTAATCTGTGTCTTAACATGTTGCAACCAATTTGCACTAGTTAAATGCTCCGTCTACTTGTGATTCATTCTGCGGAAATACTTGGTTTCCCTTGTATCGCGTTTGCACTGGCCGCGTTTCTTGCTGCTCCTTTGTGGGGGTGTAGACTGACAGTAACAGGTATGTACTTGTGCAAAACCACACTCGTTCCAGTAGCGTATACCGAAATCTGCTGACGACATTGTTCGGAGGGTACATTGAAAAATTCAAAACTTGAAAATCGATTTTAAAAAGCGTTTAAGCAAGCACAGTAGCCCCCAGCCCCCCTTTGAAGTACCATTTAATCCCTGCACATCCTTGTATTCATCCAATTATGGCACAGAATAACTGCAGTGGTACTATACGCCTAATGTTTTCTCTAAGTTTTTTTCTGTTTGATTTGTTTTTTCCTTCTTGATTGAGAATTTTTTTGGTTGGTAGACTTGGTGACAGGTGTGCATACTTACAGGGTGCATCAAGAGTGCGACGTTTCTGCTTAACTGAAATGCATTTCGTAGAGTAGGTAGTGTACGTTTTGATGTGTTCCAATCTCTCTTTGGCCTTTCTCAAAACCCAAGGGGCACTACAGTGCTTCACAATCAAGCATTCCAATTCAAACATAAACAGAAGGGTACATAGTCTAAGTTAATCAATTTTGGAAATGTCTAACCTTGCAGGGCCACTGAAAGAGATCTCTCTCGTGACGCCCTGACAAGGCTCCAAGTCGCTCCGAGTGCTCCTTGTAGGCCTGACGCAAGGCGTTCACTTTGGCCGGGCGTGCAATATGACGTAAACTCATTCCAGGTGCGGCAGCGGGTCGGATCGCCTCACGTCGATTCAGTCTGTTTATGTCATGTTGGACGGACGGCACACGCAGTGCCACACAGTGCAGTCACGGCCCAGTTATCGTCACGGACGATGTGACGGCCCTGCCACGCTTCACGGCATTGGCCACGGCCGTTGTCACGGCCGCCCGGCTGTTCAGTGTGACACGAAAGTCGTCACACGACTCGAACCACCTTCTGCACCTTCCTGTTAATTTTAAAACATTATCATATGGCCTTGACTGTACTGTCATTTTTTTGTGGACGATATGTTGTTGTTTTTTGAGTGTGGGATTTTTGTGATTGTTTTTTTTTTCTCTTACTTTACACTTTATTTCTCATTGTGGCTACATAGATTGAGTGCCTCAAGCCAGAGTGATCTAGTTTTGTTTTGACTTTCTTGGGTGTGATTTGCTGTTTTCCACATTCAAGAGTGTTGTTGTATATTCACCATTAGCTGTATTTTTTTTTATTGAGGCATGCCCGTGTGCCCATGTAGTGAGCATCGGGTGGCAGCTTCTCCCCCCACCCCCACCCCTCCGCCGCCCCGTTCGACATAACGTGTGTCGAAGCGAGCAAGCGACTGGAGCAATCTTTAATGCATGTGTCATTTCGTGAACCTGTGAGACGACGCACGCGGTGCGACGACTCGCCGTGAGACACACCGCGAGACAAACAGTGAGGCACGCAGTGAGACACACCGCGGGACTCACGGATAGTAGTACCGCGAGACGCGACCTGACTGCTCCCGACGCCCCCGCCACTCACCCCGTCCACTTCATGTTTGTTTATTATTCATATTGTGTGCCCCACCCTCCTCCACCCAGCCAAGGGGGTATGACTGTGTTTGTGTGTGTGTGTGTGTCCGTGTGTTTGCGAACGCATGCCGTCGTCCTGTGTGCGTTTGTCTAGGATGACATACGTCGGAAGGGGTCGTCCTGATGCTACGCGTCGTGGTTACCCCCACCCCTTCCCTCCTTGGTAGCGTAGACCCTGTCCCCTGAGACAACGCCGAGCGAGGGGGAAATCACTCGCGTAATAGTCGGGTCACTGATTCCTAGTATTACGCGTAATAGTAATAGCGTAATAGCCAAATTTTTTAAAATTTTCCCTATTTAGGGTCCGATTTTAGCCTAAATCTGGATATTTTCGAGCGTAATAAGCCTTCTGTAATAGCGTAATAGAACGTAATAGGGAGTAGTCGGGTCACAGTTTTTAAGAGTGATTTCCCCCTCGACGCCGAGTACCAATTTTCGACAGCCGAACGCCCAAAGCAGTTTCTCCTAATTTTCTTTCGGCGTGCCCGCGACTTGCATCGGTTTTGCACCCATCTCGCGCCGCTTTGGGACGGACTGACGGGCTCCCCCTCACCCTCAGCGCAGGGCGCAGCCATGGCGCAGCGACTGCGCGAACCACAAACCGCAGGTGAATTCCCATTTGAAAAGAGCAGCGGGCCGTGCCGTGCCGTGCCGTGCCGCGCCGGGCAGACGGAAAAAGACGAGAGCGAAAGGTCGGGACAAAATTAGACGCGTGGCATCGGCCTGGCCCCCGGCTGCCCCCGGCTCGCGACACTGCGAGCCCCTGGTCCCCCGGTTCCCCTGGTTCCCCCGCGCGGGCAGACGCCGGCGACATCCGGACCGAGATGACGGCGATGACGATGACGGGGTGCTTGGACTCGGGGCCGGGGAAGCGCGCGCGCACCGCACACCGCGTCCGCGAAGGGAGACGTCGCTACCCCGCGTGCGAGGCCCCTCCGTAGGGCTGCAGCGCGGAGAGTCCCTCGCTAAAGGGGTAGCGACGGCTGTGGAGCGCGTGAGTGTGTGTGTGAGAGAGAGAATGAGAGTGGACTGAGCCAGGAGGCGCACACTGCCCCCTCCCCCCCACTGTCTTTTCCGTAGCTGTTAAAACCGTTTTTGTGTTGTGTGCCATGGAGTAGGAGGCATGGGAGGTGGAGATGCTGCCCGGTGTTCCGCGCTCCGCCCTCGCCGGCCCCACTGACGTGCACTGACGTGCGTCGCGCCTTGCTGTTGCAGCGTGCCGCAGAGCTACGTGTACCCCGCGCCCTACCTGTCTGCCGGCCCCGGCGTCGTGTCGCTGCCGCCGGCCCAGCTGTCGCACGCCGCCGCCGTGGCCGCCGCCGCCTCCCAGTTCTACGAGTACCAGAACGCCGCCGCGGCCGCCGCCGCCGCCGCCTCCTACCCCGGCCAGTACCCCTCCAGCTTCGAGGGCTACCCCTACACGAGTGCGGCCGCAGGTAAGGGTGGGTAACAAGACACTTCCTTCCTAGGCATGAATGCGTGAGAGAGAGAAGGAGAGAGAGAAGCACGCTGTCTATCTCGCCACACGTTGTGTTGTTGGTTCGAAGGGCCCGCGACAGCCGAGCGGTTCAGAAGAGTTGTCTATCTTGTCGCACTCATGGAGTTCTCCTCAAGCGTGCGAGAGAGACAGAGGAACAAACCGCTCTTCTAAATCGCTTGACTGCGCCGTGGCGCAGCAGTCGTGGCCAAAGAGTCTGTTGCTGCCGCGCTGCCGCTACCCCGCGCGCGAGAGACCCCACGCTTGGACAGTCTCCGCGCGCGGGGTAGCGGCATGAGCGACCGCGCCAGTTTCAGTCTTGCGCTCGCGCTCCAGACCTCTAGACTGCGACAACTGCTTTCCATGGCTCTATGGCCAGTCACGATGAGAGACACACAACTTTGGTGTTTTTCCCTTGTTTCCTGGGTTGTCGTGGTTATTTTTTGTGGCTCTTGACTTTGGTGTGTTTCAGTGGTTTTGTATTACTATCTTTGCATTCCGTTTGTCTAAAAGAAAACTAGAGACATTTGGAATAAAATAGACTATCCTAACCTGTGTAGGATTAGACAAATTCAGCGACCTCTAGTAATCTTTCATTCAAGGAAAAGAGATTTCTCATTGGTTTCGAAAAAAACTGAATCTTAACTGTATTTTGTCACTTGTTTTTATCTAGTTTGTGCATGCATTCATTTGACATACCAACTCTCAAATTTGCCAGTCGTATAAGCCTTAAATTTGCAAGTCTCTTACTTGTCACTTTGCTTTCTCTGTAAAAGTAAATTGGAGTTTGTGGACTCATCTTTGTGTGTTGGCGTGCTTGTGTGTTTTTGTGTTTGAAGTGTTACCCCTGCGTATTGAATCGCCTGCACGTGTTTTACCAGCATAGCACATCTGACTGGGTCTTGGAAATTGTAGCACAGTGCAATGTCCAAGTCACTGCCCTTCACCGTTGAATCAGTCACATTTCAAGTCCAGAGTTAAAAGAAGCAGCTTCATTACAGCTCTTCTTGTTTCCAAAGAATATTATAGAATTCAAATCTTTTTTTTTAATGGGTTAGATTCACTTTTCTAAACAAACTGATAGTTGATGGGAACTTACCTGTCATGTCATTTCTTTCTTTACTGTTGGGCAGATTTGTCACTGGCTGCGGAATTCTTGTCGTGGAAAGCAGGTGGGTTTGCGTTGGAATATAGGTAGATAGAGATCTAATTACTTAATATCACTCTAATTTTCATTTGGTGAGGGACTAAACAACGATTACACATATTTATGCAACACACATTCCCATTCCCCACGTTTTCTTATGTTTGGAGCATGTAGTGTTTCTGTTGAGTATTTCTTGAGACTGTTTTGTTTCTCTGAGTGTGTGTGTGTGTGTGTGTTTGTGGACTTACAAATTTGATTGTATGTACCATGTATGACTCATATGTAATGAGTTTAATCATGAGTATCTTTAGAACAAATTTTAGTGCATTTCAGAACAAAAGCTTGCACATTTTTAAGTCTGACATTTTTTTTCAATATTTTTTTTTTTGCATAGTTATTTAAAAAAAAATAATCTATTGTGTATATGCAGTGTCAGAAACTAAATATATACAAATCCTGTACGAAAACAGCCAACTACTTTTTTCTTGTGCAAAACTTTATGTTGTGAATGTGGATAAAAGGAGAGTCAATGAGATTCGAGCAATATGTCCCCTCCCCTCCCCCCTCCCTGGAGAATGAACGAACCTCTTCCCAAGGTGCGCAATGTCCAATACTTGGGTCTGCACCCAGCCACCCAGCCCCATTCAGACTTGAGACAGTCTTCGGACTGCAAACTGCCCGCCGCCCCCTTCGACGCCGTCCCCCAGTGTGCTGACGTGTTTCTCGGTGTTGCAGGCGCGGCTGCTGCTAGCTACATGACGCCCTACACCTACGCCACGCTGCCCCAGTCCGCGTCGGGGCTGCAGTCAGCGACCAGCGCCTTCTCGGGCCTGTCACCGTACCAGTCCGCGGCCGGGGCCTCGCTCCAGGAGGCGCGCCTGCAGTGAAGCGGAGCGAGTGGGGTGGGCTGGAGCCTGGAGTAGCCTGGAGTAGCCTGGAGGCCCGGCCGGAGGCTGGCGGAGAGGATGGACCAGCTGGACGGAGCCCTGGCCTTGCGGCCTGGCCCTCGAGGCGCGGCCCCGGCTGGCCCTGTCTGCCCTTGTCCTTGTCCTACCCCTCGGGCCTGGGTCTGGGTCTGGGCCCTCGGTAGCACGCCCAGTTAGATTAATTCTAATTCTAGCGGGGCTCGGCGTGGCGTGGCGCAAGCGGCCAACGGCGGGCCCCAAATCAAATTCACATTGTATTTGCTCACGCTCTACCAAATTGATAATACCAAAGTGTTGAAGTGCTCCTCGCTTTGTTACAAAATGACTAGTGGTGTGTCACACAGAGGCCTTTATTGGTGTTGGAATTTTATGGTAAAGCAATCTCAAGTCTGGGTCTCGCAGAGGTTTGTACCCTAGCGCCTTCCTGCGTCGTTTCCATGTTAATCACATAAGTTAAAAATGTGCTGTGCAAGTTGTTAATTTGGGAACACGAGTCAGGAGGGTGAAGGGCACTTTAATTCTGGAATTAACAGGAGTATTTCAATCTTTACATGAGATTTGACCATAGGTGATAGGCCCCTATATAAGGCTTATGTTGATGTAATTATTTTATGACTGTTTATGATGTGGGGAATCTCATTGTAAAGGTTGTTGTTAAAATAAGTTCTTATTTTTATCTTAGGCCTTATCAGGGCATTCTTTTAATCTATAAGTGCATTCAATAACATAAGAAACTTTTATTCCGTTGATGTCTTTGATGGGGGTAAGTAAACTAAGTATGTTATGTAATATATATTAGCTTCATCCCTTGAAGTTTATATCTTTATGTGGTTATCCATTCTGTGTTATCAAATAGCTTGGCTGCTATTTATGAATTCTGCCAATGCTGTTCACAAGGTAGTTAACTTGTAGCCCTTAGGTGATTTTTTTTTGTCCATCTCCACCGTATGGTGTGAAAGTGGGTGGTTGAGCTTTTGTCCCTGATGAAATGTAAATAAAGGGGTTGTTGGTTCCCTATGCTCAGACTCAAAGAATCCAGTACTCCAAGTGTTTTTGAAAGCTGTTGATATTGAGGCTTCTGTTAGGCGTTATTGTTGATAAATGTGTTATCTAGTCTGTTGTAGAGTGTGGTCGGAAGGAGCTTGAGGTATGGTTCATTGCCTCTTCGATTCACTGTTCAGACATTAAAAAGAAAGTACTTAAAGAGTGTATCATTGTTCAGAGAGCTACCCACTTGAGTGGAGACACAATTATGGAGTACAGTATGTTGTTCTGTCGACCTACCAATTTGTTAATAATTTATTATTATATTATGAGTACTCTCTGTTTCTCCTTTTTGACCAATAGCTTGCAGAGTTGTTAAATATTGAGTCACATTGGTACAAATTTTAGAAGTAGTGGTATTGGCAAGTGAAGTATGCAAGTTATGGGTTACTAGTTTGTCGCAACACAGATGAATATTCCCGCAGCCACATCTAGTGATACAACTCAATTCTATACGGTACCATTTTTAAAATGCAACTAGAGCCCTTCTGATTCTTTGTTTCTTTTAATTTGTTTTTATGATAGTTACATTTTTGTGAACTCTAGTCCAAGCAAAATACCAAAATGGTCATAGATATTGTAAGATCTATTTGTCATTTTAGTTTAACATAATGTAATGATGTTGATATTATTGTTACAGTTCATTTTACTTGCATGGGTGATAAGGTTAGGCAAAAACAAGTCAAAAAAGCATAAAAATATTTTAACTATTTGTGAAGTTCAGCTACTGCAGTTGTTATTGTTGTTGTATTTTTCCTCTCAGTGTGGCATTGGTGTCAGTGCAAAGCATTTTCTGTGCTCTGAAAAATGTGCATATCATGCTCAGAATTCCCAGTGAATGGATTTGGATAGCACTGTGAAATTCTAGTTGAATTTCTCCTCAGCCCGCGATTTACATCCTGTGTCCAAACCTCAGTTCTTATATGTGTGGCAGTTCTAAAATGAAAGTAGAAATCACTGTTTGTAGATGTATGTAAATTATTATTTTTAAAAAGTCAAATGTAGAAGTTTAAGTATTAGGCTGTAATCTAAAGACAATCTAATCAAAAGTTGAATCTTTAATTACCAGAGAACCATTATTGTACAGAGAACTAAAATTCTACCCCATATCAAGGTAGAGAGTTCTGTTCCTCTTTTGCTCGTGGAATTTATTGTACATACCTGATTGCATATTTTCGTATGCTCAATTATAGGAAAAGACAAAGCGATGATTTCGCAGATTCTGTGCTGCCATTAATGCCATACGATATATTTCTTTACTTTTACGGAATTTGGACCACACTGGTTTCTCTTTTTCAAAGTCATCATGTATTGTGTTTGAGAAATTTACTTGCGGTAATTAGGAGTCTCTTCTCAAAACCATATATCATATTTTATTTAAGTTAAAATTTCAAAATACAGTTTTTTTAAGTCAGCAACATTGTGTCCTATTTCCTTGGTACAAGTTAGCCTCTTTCTCCTGCTTCTCGTGAATCTTTCTTTTGCGTAGATATATCAATTTAAATTCCCAAACTTCTTGTGGAATGAATGAGGGTTCCTTTGTTCCTTGGTGTCATTGTGTGAGTCGTTGTATGTGGCTGATCTCACGGCAAACGGTGATTGCAATGCCTGCGCAAATCGTATTTTCTTAAATTGTTCTGCATTTCATTGCAGTCTATCAGGTATATATTTAAGTAGGAGTAGCAGACAAACTTAAAAAGAAATAAAAACGTAAGTGTTAATTGTAGTTGAGCATCACTCATTTTGCTGGTTTATGATACCTATCATAAATATTTTTGGTTACATATATGCATATATATTTATTAATATATATATAAATTCATCCTAGTTACATCTTTAATATAAGCAACTGGTTCGTGCAATATAGATCAACCTTAACAGAGGCTGCACTCATACTACTGACTGCAAATTGCATGACTACTTTAGCGTGGTAAATGTGTAGCATATCTGACAGGTCCCTAATTTTTCTCTTTTCTTCTCCTGCGGCTCATGTCATGAAGCTTAGCAAAACGGTCTCAAAATTCTCAGTTTCTAAATGTTTCCCTTGACATTTAATTCTCTGTTGCAGCACATTCATTAAATTTGTTTAGAGCTTGACTCATTGTGACTGGGTTTTTCACTTTTTATATTTTTTCACAGAATAAGAGTACCATGTACTTGGACCATGTAATCGTATTGCCTTAGCAAAAATAGTATATTTTATCATTGATACTGTATGCACATATTTTTCAGTGCACCAATATAAATCTGAAAAATCCGTCCAACTCTATGAGTCGTGTGAATTTAATAATAAATGTGGTCATGATTATAGGTGTCTGTATAGCACTGTTTTTAGAGCATTGTCTTATGAACTGAGAGATCCCTCTTTATGGTGTCTTTATAGTTGTTTGTTTATTATAAATTCACTTTAGCTCCGTAATTACCATTGTGCACCTTTAAATCATATACTGTTATTGAGTGCCTCTCTATGAAATTCAATCATTCAACATCATTGCACATGTTTGGAGTACCTTTCATGTCATCAATGTACTTTTGCGTCATTACATGTTGAAAAGTAGGATATGTCATATGTGAACTAACGCACCATTGATCATCACTTTCTAATAGTAAATCTTAAAATACTGCTAAACTGGTTAAGATGCTCCTCAAATCTGTTGGTTTGTTATTGCAAGCTCATCATTAATAGGCCCAAAATAATCGTATAGCCTGTTAACTTTTACATGCTGCAATGAGAAATCACAGCAATCAAGGTTGTGTATTACAAGTATTGTTTTCTTCATTTCAACTATTTTTGGGATGTTGTCATTGAAAAACTACCAATTCAAATTTGACACTTCCCCTTTTCTTTTTGTATAAATATTTCATCTTAGATCCTTTTTTTCTATAATGTTATTTAAATACTTAAATTATCATACATCAATTATAAGAAGGCCAAACTAAACACTTTCACTTCTTCTGCACAAAGGCAGAAGTTCATGAGAATGTGTATGGTATGGCTGCACTAGATTAGACATTTTACAACTTGTGAAATAATTTGTAGATAGCAAAATAATCAATATACGAAATATACAACAACAAATCCACCGAGAGAACTATGATTTCGCTATGACCTCACACCCCTACACCCTACACGTTTGTGGCAACAGAGTTGTGGCCACTCAAGAGCGTTAAAAATAAACTGACATGGGTTGTTGGTCTGGAGGCGCTGGAACAGCACCAGAGCTCAACGGGAAAGAGGAAAAGTCATTTTCAGACCAAATACTAGCTCAGCCCGAACGTTCTCTCGCGTGGGCAGTGTCTTTCGCCGCTTTGACTGTGGACCGCCCTGATGTGTTAGGCTTCTGGAACCGGAAGCGCAGGAAAGCGGAAACCATTCATTCAACGAACACATTTTACTTGTAGGTTTATTCATTATTCACGTGTCAGGAAGTGAAAGCAAAACGGCATCGTGGAGATCTAAATCTGTGGGGGCATCGTCCGCATTCGGGTCATGCAGCATGCAGGCAGGGAGGGCTGGCCGTCTCAATCCTGGATGGGGATTTCGGCGAGGTCGGCGATCCAGTCCAGGAACGAGGCCACCTTGGTGAAGCCGGAGGGCTTTCCGGTGGAGCAGCCCTTGCCGGGCGTGAAGCTGGCCACGGCGACCACGATGGCGGTGCCATCCTGCTTCTGCTCTACCAGCGCGCCGCCAGTGTCGCCCTGGAACACGGGACAGCAGTGGGGATGGTGAGCAGGCCAAGCAAGCCAGAGGGTGCCAAGGAAAACCAGGGAAACAGGGCGTCACCATTGGTGGAGTCAGGGCCAGAGCCACCCCGAAGGACGACGCCAAGGACGGGGTGCAAAGGGTCACTTGTTGCCTGCGCACAGGGGCAACGTGTCGCGTTTTCCTATCTTTCAGGCGGCTATCTAGGAGGGCCGGTAGTTTTCTTCCCCTTTCCCCCTCGATCCGCACCTCGGCGTCACCGCGTCACCGGGACTCCAGCTAAAGCAAAGCGACGCACCTGGCAGGGGCTGGCCTTGTTGTCGCCCTTGCAGCACAGCGTGTAGTCGTGCACCACCTCGTAGCTGTAGGTGCTCACGCAGGTCTTCTTGTCGGTGCCCTTCAGGTCCACGTAGCGCAGCGACGGGGAGATGGTGGCAGCGCCTACAACCGCGGAAGGGGTTGCTAACAGCCCGAAAATGCTGAAAAAGTGGAAAAGGCTCCAAAGGGAGGCCACGCACCGTCCTTCTGGTAGCCCCAGCCGCTGAGCTGCAGCGCGGCGTCAGCGAAGTCCTTAGTGGCGTACGACCTCGGGGGCAGGCTGACGGTCTTGATGTGATCTGCAAGCGACAGGTGTAAAGTACGTCCGCCCTCGCGTCAGGTCAGCCCGGCCGAGGCACGCAGAAGTACGCACCGGTGAGCTTGACCTCCCTGGGCAGCAGCAGCAGGGCGATGTCGTTCTTGTACAGCTTGGAGTCGAAGTCGTCGTGCGTGTAGGCCCGGGTGGTGGTGACGGCGATGCGTCCCTTCTCGGCGGGGAGGTTGATGTTCTGCGCGCCCAGGAACGCCGTGAAGCGTTGAGCCCTGCGAACCAACGAGGTGAGCCCCACCGGTGGACACACAGACGTTGTACCTCAGTAGGCTGAGCACCGTCTCTCTCGCACCCTTGCGAGGGAGACAGGGTGCCTCCGCAAGAGTTCCTACTGGGAGACGCAGGTGGCGGCCGTGAGGACCCAGTTGGGGTGGATGAGGGCGCCGCCGCAGAAGGCGGACATGTCCACGTAGATGCCGACCTGGTGGGGGAACTGGCCCGGCGCGGCCGTGTTGCCGTTCACGACACGCAGCGAGCGGGGCTGGCCCGGCTGCCTGTCGGCCCCGTCTGCAAAGATGAGGGTCAGGAGGAAAACCGACACACACCTACACGGTCAAAGTCACGGTCGAAGTGTCGCCAAGGGCTTTGAGTGATTAATTTTCAAAGTTGTCCAAATTCACTTTGTACAGAAATACGGACTGGTATGCCGACCATAGGTTTGGATGGGAAATTTAAAAAAATGTTATTCAACTTTACAATTTGCAAAATGGCCTAAATGCCCTGAGCACTTTTTAGTAAAGTAATGTCAATTGAACGACTCAGGAAATAACACCAACATTTTTTTTTTAATTTTGCGAATAACCGCGGCCTTGAAACGCAGCGTGCGTTTTTGCCGCGCGTGCTCGGCTAGTCCGGCCGGCGCTTCGCCGCGCCGCGCCAGCCGCACGCCTCAATCCCTGTAATCCCGGTAATCCAGTCGGACCGATCGGACGGACGGGATCACAGATTAGCAGACTCGGATGGATCGGCACTACCGCCATAGACACGCTACCGGCGCCTAGACAGGCCGCCCAGTGGCACCTTGCGAGCTGGCGCGCGTCTTCCGTGCTTTTCTTTTGAAAATGATCGCACTGGATTCGAAAACAGTTTTGGTTTATAGTAGCAGCAGAAGAAAAGTTGAAGAAAGTATGGGTACGTACGCGTTCTCAGGGCATGGAAGGACCCAAACGGTGCCGGCTGGACAGAAGCGCTGGCCTACAAGTAAAATTCTCGTATGATGAATCTTGCAATACATTTGAAAACATGCATCTGAGAAGGAAACTAGGACAATGTCAACGAACGGTCCATGGACGTCTGCTGTGTATCAGGGGCCTGAAGGCGAGCCGTCGGCGCGCCCACAACAAACCTCACCTCAACCGGAGGGGCGAAAACTCCAATATCCGCGTTGCTGCCACACCACGGGGCACAAGCCACCGGCAGGCCAGGGCCGCCAGGGCCTCAGCCTCGCTTCGGCAAGAAACGCCGCAAAGGTCTCATCGCTGTGCCCAGGCGGTCCAGAGGCCAGGCCCAACTGCGAGGTGCGAGGCCGGAGGCCGACGTCGAAATTGGTTGCGGTGCGTGCCCGCTCGGGATGGAATGTGTCATTGATCCTCTTGCCGCCGAAACGGAAGGCTCACCAAGTTGCAGTGCACAGCCAGGAGTCGTCTGCTCGTTTCGCGTCGGCCTAAGTTAGCCTTGCGTGACCCAACCTAACCTAACCTAACCTAGCCGTCCACTAAAGGTGATCCCACAATGGGTCGGTCGGTCGCAGACGGTCGCTCGGACGGTCGATCGGCAACGCTGTGGAGGCTTATGTGTCTCGGTGGCTCCGGGCGCAGAGGCAGCGGCCGCCTCGAATGAGAACTTGGATTCGAATCCCAATGACAAACTTATTTTCTTTAGCTGGCCTGGGTTCGGCTCCCAGGAGTGAATCTTTTCCTAAGTTTACTTCTTACATCCGGTACCATCACTCTAAGATTGATCGCAATGCATCTCAGTGGCTGGTTGGCTGATATGGGGACTGTAAAGTTAAGCACGCTCCGCTCACGCGTGAGTGAGAGTGAGCGTGAGCGAAGTCCAAATCGCTCAATCCGAGTGCAAGATGAGTGATTTCGCAATTTTAAGCATCCAGAGATAAAGGCTACTCAGTAGTTTTATATTTTTCATAAAATATCCGAGGAAATCCGGCGGTAAAGAAAGGTTTGCTCCGCTCACGCGTGAGTGAGAGTGAACGTGAGCGATGTCCAAATCGCTCAATCCAAGAGCATGATGAGTGATTTCGCAATTTTAAGCTTCCAGAGATAAATGCTACTCAGTTAATTTACATTTTGAATCAAAAATCCGAGGATATCTGGCGGTAAAAAAGGTTCCTTAGCACTCACGCTCACGCTCACTCACGCTCACGCTCACTCTCGCTCTCACTCACGCGTGAGCGGAGCGTGCTTAACTTTACAGTCCTATGGTAGAGGTGTCAACTGGCGGGAGGAAGTCCTGGGTTCGACTCCCAGGTGGGTGAATCTTTTTCCTCAGGTTACTTCTCAAATCCGGTACCATCACTCTAAGATAGATCGCGTTGCTTCTCAGTGGCTGGATGGTCGATATGGTAGAGGTGTCGGCCGGTGGGAGGAAGAACTGGGTTCGATTCCCAGTTGAGTGAATCTTTTCCTCAGTTTACTTCTCAACCCCGGTACCATCACTCTCAGATAGGACGTGTCGGACAGGTGTGTTGTCGTAGCTCAGGTGGCAGAGCGATGGGCCGTGGAGGCTGGTTGGAGGCCATGCGGCAGCACATGTTTCCCGTTGGACCTGGTTCGCTACCAGCCAGGTCAGGTTACTAACCCTTTATGATTGCCCCTATTCCCCTCTCCTTCTGGGAGGGGGGGTAGGGGGGGTGGGAGCCGACGGCGGGAACTCTTTTGCATCCTAGAGGTGATATACAGAGAGCAGCGCCACCAAGATAGACCACCCATTTGCCACGCTGACGGAGGCTGACGGCAGGAACTCTCTTTTAGTGTTCCGGATTGGGTGGGCGGTCAAAACCCGATGACTCCAGAGCGACTCTAGAACTCGGCCGGTGTATGCAGTGCCACCAACAGACACTGTCAGCAGGCTAGCGTAGGGCCTGAGCTAGCCCGTCGGCAGTGCCTACGGGCGGCACTGCATTCACCGGCCGAGTTCTAGAGTCGCTCTGGAGTCATCGGGTTTTGACCGCCCACCCAATCCGGAACACTACTCTCTTTTGCACTCTTTAACAGCCAAGATTGTTTGGAAGATATCTGGCCTTTAATTCAGTGTATGAGCCGCGCCGGCAAGGTAGGCCACCCATCTGACACGCTGCTGCAAAAGCAGCACCGCGGCGGAAAACATAAGCCATTCTCGTAGCCGGGACTTGAACCCGAGTGCTTCTCTCTACGACCGACACCTCAGCCCCCTGAGCCACCGAGGCTCTCCTTGATGTAAACCAGTCTGAACTTGGGCTAATTGTACCGCATTCATGCAGTCAACTGAGAAAAATGTTTCGGTACCCGGGATTCGAATCAAAGTCTCTCAGCGCGAACACCTCCTCTGCGCTCCCAGCCACCGAGACGATGAAAATTCGCTCGCCAATCTTGGAAGTAATGGTAAGTTACCGGATTCGAGGTTCAACAGAGGAAAACATTTCTATACCTGGGATTTGAACCGAACTCCTGCGCCACCAAATCACCCGGCGTGTCTCCGCCAAAACTCAGACCCATGGTTGCCTGATCCTTCGGGTTCGTGAAGTGAGGTAACTGAGAGTTTGGGAACCAAACTCATGAAAAGATTTGGGCGACGCTCTTGCCGACCAAGCCACCGGTTAGTGATGTTCCATGTGACCGTTCGACCGACCCGTTGTGGGATCACCCTGACCGGGTCAAGGGTTGGACGTGGCTGTACGCCTGGACTTACCGCGGCGGCCAGCGCGCAGAGGGCGAGGAGAAGCGCGGCCTGGACAGCCATGTCGATTCGCAGAGCAGCAGTGGCTTGCGCGCGGAGTGCGCCAGTCCTTTTATCATCTCGCAGGACTCGGGCCAGGACTATCACTGCCGTCTATCCGTCAATCGGCGGATAAGCTGCTATCGCTCCGATTCAAGTGCAGCCTATAAACGTCACTGGCATGCCAATGTGCGGGACGGAAATCTGGGCCAGGTAGGCCAAATCTCGACCTGGATCTGCTCAAATAGCGACGACGACCCCGCCAGGGAGTTGAAATAAAGACAGCACGAGTATGTTCAGAACCTCAGTTGGTCCAGTCATAAAAGAGGTTTATTTACAAGACACATTAAAATACAATTCATTCTTTACAATGACTTTTTATTAAAAACACACATTTTGCTTCCACGGTTTACAAACAAATCTGGATCATATTTAGCTGGGTATGAAAACAGATAACACATTTTATGATATCATCGGAGAAATCAAGTAACAGATTACCTTACCCATCATGGCACAAATACTTCTTTCAAAAGTAATTTTGTATTAAAAACAAGAAACAAAATTTAACTTGATTTGGAAGAAATTAAAAGCCTTAACATTTTCCAATCATAGAGAACCCAGACGCCATGTCATCTCTAAGATGACCAGTCTCGTCACTACAATAGCATGAGATTATCCTATCTCATGAAATTTATTCACTTTATAACGACATAAGAATAAAACCTTTGGCGTTTTCGTCAGTCACATACTAATTCTTCGCAGACAGACCAATAGAAGACAGCTTCAGCTTATAATTTTAAATACATACATAAATACATATTTATATACATATTGTTGCTTTACAAAAGAATAGATCACGTACACAGGTTGTGCGACACTCTCACTCCCTCACATACTCACTTACACACATACACACACAATCTTTCTTTCACTCACTCAATCACACAACCATGCAAACAGTACCATATAAATTCCAAGAACAACATAAATCAGGGTCAAACTAAGAGCCGAGCCAACAGCAGCTTCTTTGTAGTAAGAGGGTCACACAGTGATCTCTTTAAATTTGAACCTAATTTGTTAGAGTTCTTTTACAATATCAACAAGCAATATTAATTTAAAGAAATAACCAAAGCAACAAAATCAACAATAAAATAAAATCACAAACCTCATACATCTAAACAATAATAGTACGTAAATTGTCTTCATTTATAAAAGATTTACAGCAAAAGTCTTAATAGTTCATACAAAAAATATACTCTATAGTAAAAACTAGTATTTTTCGATAGCTACAACAACTGTTCAAAGCAAGCTAAGCTTCAGGCAACATAAATTTTTACAAATAAACTTTTTGTGCAGCAAACCACAAGAGTGTGTGAACGGGTCCAGAGGGTACCGAGACGTCGGTTTCAAAAATTATTTTTAAAGATTACGTTTTGGTCGGCGATGAGTGAAAACTATGCCAATTTCAGTGACTAGATTGAACCGTATTGTAAAGCTTTTAAAAGATTTAAAATTGATTTGTGGGCAAGGGAAACATGTTGACTCGTGTTTTTCTCGTTTCAAAGCGTTTTCAAGTGCTTTGAGGGAACAGCACGGAAAGCAAAGCAAAGCCTACAGCGAAAGTAACTTTAAAAAACAACAGACTTTACTCATTTTAGAAAATAGAACTGTAGGTACTTCTTCGCCATCACTAACGCAATCACAAAACGTGCTACACTTTGTAACAACAACACAGTCACAGCGTCGTCTTTCGGCCCCGCTGCCGTGGAACTCGCATCCCATCAGCAGCTGACTAGAGAGTCCAAAAGCACGTAGCTGCCTCCTCAAGGAACTATGTGTATCGCGACGCCCACACACACAGACACACACACACATACACGGCACACACACAGTCAAGCGCCTCTGCGGTAAATGCTATAGCGCGCCGGTGGTCCCCTCGGCTGCTACGGCCAAGCCTAGGGCCGTGCCGCCCGCCCCCACTTTTTAATCTACTTGTACTATTCGTTGGGGCTGCCATCTGCCGGGCTGTGCCATCTGCCTGGTGGCGCGAGGAGGTCGCTCTCACCCTAACCTAAACAAGGACAGCCGTGGCCGCCGCTCGGGGCGCCGATCGGGCCGCGAGACTGACGCGCTCGGTGACGTCATGACGTCCTCCGAGGCCGGTCCGCCGCGTCCCGCCGCCCTTATCACAGCTATGAGAAGTCGTCGTGCACCACGGCCTCCTGGGCGCTCGTCTTGGACACGCAGTCGCGCACGGCCTCCAGGATGATCTTGACGCGCCGGTCCAGCGCCACGTGGTGGGGCTCCCACAGCACCGGCGCCACCGGGTCCTTGGTCATGGACTCGCGCATCAGCTCGCTCAGCGGCTTGGGCCCGTTGTGGAACCTGGCGGCAAGCACAAAACAACAGATTAGATTAGTGTGGCGGGCTGGCCGGGGGAGCGACAGAGATGCAGAGGGAGAGAGAGCGCCCGGCGGGGCAGGCCACGCGATCCGTGGACGAGTCCGGCGGGCTGGCCTACCCGCCCGTCCGCGGGCGCTTCAGCCTTCTGGCCGGCGGCGCCGCTGTCGCTGCGAACCTCAACAGACGATGGCGCCCGGCGCGGCCCGGCAGACCGCAGATGGCGGCGTGCCCCTGGCTCCTCCAAGCAAGGCCCCGCCAAGCAGGGCCACGCCCGCCCAGGCTCCACCCGTCCTCGGCCAGACTAGACAGTTCGTATAGTTTGCCGCAGTTGGCACCATTTCAGGTTCAGGGCGGAGTGCTGCGCGAACTGCCACTAAGTCGAGTCTGGTCTCCGCGCACCGCGCACCGCCAGCGGCGTGCCGGGGCAGCAGCAGCGTCAGCGCGCCACTTCGCAACTTGGAACACGCCGCACCGCGCCGCACCGTCTCGGAGTCTGGGGCGCCGCCGTGCCGCCGAAGTGGCGGGCCGAGGCGTGTCTGCGTCATCAACAGGCGGGCCAAGGGCGCGGCGATCGGCCGCTTCGACGGCGCGGCGGGGCCGGGCGGGGCCGAGGCGAGGCAAAAACGGACGAGCAAGAACAGGAGGCCGACGCGTGCAATCACACGGGGAACATCTGCTTTATCGTGGCAAAAATTGGCTTGGATGCCGGCCAAACGAGGACGGGGCGCTGCGGGGCACGGCCATCGGTGATAGGGGATGCCGCCAGCCAGCGCGCTCAATCCGAACACTGGCTTCGCCGCTCTGTCTCTCTCGCACGCCTAGGGCGTCCCATGAGGAGTGCGAGAGAGACAGAGCGACGAAGCCACTGTTCAGATTCAGCGTGCAGGCCAGCCATCGAGCCAGGCCGCCAGCCAGGCCACCAGCCTCCACCCCGCGCCGCACCTTACCCCTTCACTCCCTTCACTGCTGACAATGCGTTTACAGATTGTAATCGCGCTGCCCCGCGCGCCCCGTGCGCCCCGCGACTCCAAAGCGCGTTTGTTTCCAGCGCCCGACCAATTCAATTCAACCCTTTCTGCCGAAAATGAGTTTAGCAGCCCCCTCCCGCCCCCCACCCTCCACCCCCTCTCACGCCGAGACGATTTATGGACAGCGCGGGTGTGCTTCGCTTCGACGCGAGCCTGGCGATGGCCACGGACACACACACACACACACACAGAGAGACAGAGAGAGAGAGAGAGAGAGAGAGAGAGAGAGAGAGAGAGAGAGAGAGAGAGAGAGAGAGAGAGAGAGAATTATGCTCCCGCAGCCTCAAACGAAAGGGAACAGTTCTCGTGCCGCTGGTACGCTCTCTTGCTATTCCGTTAAAGAACCATGCTGAAAAGAACCAATTTTGTTCCCATTGGCGAACAGCGAAAGTAACATGCCAGGCCGAAGTTTACCGAGTGAGTGACGCGCCCCGCCTCGCCATGACCGCGGACCGGTGCAAGCTCAAGATCTCTCCATTTCATTAACACGAAAACAACAAACAAAGACAAAAACGCTCTGGACGGTGTTTTCTCGGATCGCGCGCGAGCCGTCCGTCCGTCACACACCGACCGCAGCGAGGGCGGCGAGGGCGAGCAGCGCGGCCCAAAGCGCGGGGCGCGCGGGGCGGGCTGGGGGAACTCGTTAAGTATTCCGGCGGCCGATCCAAAGAGCAGGCAGCACTTGGCTTGGCGCTTTGCGTGCGTCCGCAGTTGGAGCGGGGTGTTTCGGACTCGAGTCACACACACACTAACACATACACACACACACACACACACTGACACACACACTGACACACACACACACTGACACACACACACACACACACACACACTGACACACACGGGCCGCATGTAGATTTAAGCAGCAGCGCCGCACCGCGGGAGGCTTTCGGCCCGTGTACCGCCTGTACCGGTCGGCAGACACACTGGGCGGACACGGTCGCACGCCACTCCGGACGCCAATCACGATCCACCCCCACTTCCCCCTCCCCTCCCCTTTTGGCTGGCAGGCCTGGCAGGCTTGACCGGGCACGGACGGCGTGGCACGGCTGAAAGATTGATGCGCCACTCGCTCCAGCCACACCGCCTGGCTGGCACCGCGCCCTCGTCCCTCCGTCTCTCTCGCACTCGTGGGGCGCTCCGTGTAGGCGCGAGAGGGACGGAGCGACGAAAACGACTCTCGAAATCGGTCGTCATGGTCGCCACCGTGACGGCGACACACCGTGGCGACACGGGGCGACACACGCGCCGACGCCATGCCGACTGCCGCGGCGGCGCTTCCATTTATTACATCAAAACGTAAAAGCAAAGCCTTTTTTCCCCGGCCAGGTGTGAGAAACAACAAAAACAACTAAAAAGTGGACTAATGTATTCAATTCGGGAGAACGGCGCGAGAGAAAAAGGCGGCAGGCAGGCGCCGCAATGTATAGGAGCGCTGCTGGATATGAGCACCCCCCCCCCCTTTCCCCTCGTGGGGCTCACACCTGCTCATTGTGCGGCAGTCGCAACAAAATAATGAAACTGGAACTGGGCGCGGTGCGGCGCTCGGCCGAAGCTTGAGGCTAGCTGTGCGAGCAGCGCTGCTTGCCGGATCCCGAATTCCAATTCCCTATCGGTGCCCTTTCTCTCTCCCTCGGGTTCAAGTGGGGCGAAAAGAAAGAACTGGCCGGCTGGCGGCGCTAGCAGTGCCTAGAGGCAGCCGATAAGAAAAACACCGCCGCCATCGTCGAGTCCATCGCGCTGCCCCCGAGCACCCCGTCAGCCGTGGAGCCCTGGCGGAGGCGCAGCGACGGACAGTGAGGGATTTGCAGGGCTGATGAGACTTTCGTCACCGCCTGTCCGTAACGGCTCGTCATCGGCCTGAGCCTCCCGGCGGCAAAGTCGCCCCGCTCTTCACGCTGAGGGATGATCTCGCCGCCTGACAGTCGCCAGCTTCGCCAGTCAGGCCGTGCCGCGCGGGGGCTCAGGCCGCTCAAGGGCTCAGGACGACGACGGCGCCGAGCTGCTGCATCACGGCCGCCGCCGTGCACCACGTCGTCGTGGTGAGGCCTCGGGGCGGGGCGGGGCGGGGCGCGGGCTCGCGCTAAACAGCGGTACATGGGGTCGCTCGCGGTCGGGGCGCGGTGGCGCGGAGCGGAGGGCTCCGTCGGTCCACATTATTACCCTGTGTACACCGCACTGCGCCCCGCCCCGCCACAACAGGCAGGCCGTCCAGGCTACGGCCGCTACGGCCGCGGTGGCTGGCCGAGGCACCGGCACACCAGCCCACCAGCACAGCGCATCAAGTTTTCATGGCCCGCCGTGTCGGCCGGCCGGCCTATTGTCGAGTCCCACTAATGAAACGTTCGACGTAATCCCCCGCGCCGTCTCGCTCGCACTCGCAGGGCGTGCCTGGGCCTGCCGCAGCGGTGCGAGAGAGACGGAGCGACCGTCCGGATGCAGACGCCGTTATTCACACGATGAGACGCGACTGCCAATAAGCAAGGGACGAGGACGCCGCGGGCGATTGAGCGACTGTGCCGGCTTGGCGGTGCGGTGCGGTGCCGCCGTGCAGAGACACTAAAGAGAGAGACAGAGAGACAGAGAGCTCTTTGTTTCCAGCAGACCATTCAGTCGGCAAACAAAGGGGCGGGGATTCCAGCCAACCGAGCCAGCCCAGCCCAGTCGGCTGCCTTCAGTGCCTTCTGCCTTCGAGAGCCCCGCTCCGCCGCTCCGCCGCTCTGCCGGACCCAACCAAAGCCCTCCGAGCGCCGGGACGGGGATGCCGGGATGGCAGGGCAGGACCGCGCCGCGGGCCGCGGTCTCAGCCGCAAGCAGCCAAAAGCCTCCGCCGCCACCGCAGCACCGCGATGCAGTCGCCGGGGGATTCCTTAAAAGCCACCAGCACAGCAGCCCCGCATTGCCTCCCCTCCCTTCGCCTGTCCGGGCGCGGCCGCTACCTGTGCAGTCTGGCGGCTCCAGGACCATTAGCACCCCCCCCCCCCCCACACACACACACACACTGGCAGAGTAGCGCCCCGCGTTTTACGCTGGCCGGGCCTTGCCCAAATTTCCCGATAACTCCCGCGACGCTACTTCGGCCGATAGGCGGCGGGGCCTGGTGGGGCGGTGGGCTGCGGGCCGGGCCGTTCGTTGTCTTGGCCTTGGTTCTTGGTTGGCTCGGCAAGCAATCCCCGTTGCCTCGGCTCCCTCGGCTCCCTCCCCCCGAGCAGTTTGCTCTTCTGATCGGCCCGTGACTCCGTGTGCGTCCCGGCTTGCCCTGCCGCGGCCGGACCGTGGCGGTTCTACAGTGCTGCCCCTCCAGCAGCGGCACTTCCAGCTGCCACACTCGCCCTGCAGGCAGGTTCTCTCTCTCGCACTCACGGGCGTGCCGCTGGTACGAGAGAGACAGACCCTGCCTCGGCATGTCGCTCTGCGCGGCTGCCTCCCCCTCGCTGGAACGTCAACATGGCCCCGAGAGCGGTGGCCGCGGGCGGGGTGGACGGACGCACGCCGGCACGCCGTCGGCGGGACCGAGACTGAGACACTGAAAGACTGGCTGAGTGAGCGACGGAGAGAGAGGGACTCCGCTCCAGCCCCAGTCTCTCCAGCGCGGCTCCAGCCATTAGCACCAACAACTGGATAATGCATCGAAAAAGTCGGCGCGCCACGCCCCGCCGCGCCACCCTTTAAATCCCCCCTCCCCCAGTGGCTGCGAGGCACTGCGAGGCGGGCCCGGCCCCAGCCCGGCCGTCGCGCGTCACTCTCCGGCTCTCAAGCCACGGAAGCACCATTAGGCGGCCGAGTGGATTAAAACAATCCGCGGATGGCGATGTGGAGGGAGAGGCGTGGTGGGGCGGGGCGGGGCGTGGCGGGGCGGGGCGGGGCTGCATATTGCATGAAGCCATCCCGCAGCCGCCGCGTCAAGGGCTCGCCCAGGACAAGGCTTGCCGAGAGCTCCCCGCGGGGGGAGAGCTTACCCCAAACTTCCCCCGGCAGGCTTGCCGACGAAGGCACCCCCAAGGCTCGCCGCCGACTCCCCCGGAGGCCGTCGTGGTCGCCGAGAGCGTGGCCTTGGTGGCGGCCCGGTAGTGCATCAAGCGGAGCGCCTCGTCTTGCCAGACACTCGCGCTGTCTCTCTCGCACGCGTGGGGCGTGCCGGCGTGCCGCGGGAGTGCGAGAGAGACAGAAGGCGCTTTCGGAGTGAGCCTGCCGGCCGCCGTAAAAACGGCGCATGCACGCACTCGGCTGCTGGCGCGGCTCGCGTGGCTCGCATGGCGCGGGGTTATTAGATTCCACGTGCCGCCCCGCGCTCCGCCACTGTAAGGGCGTAAGTATCCGCTTACCTCGGAGTGCACGTGGATTACCCCCGGGGCCATTAAGCTTGCTACAGTTACACCGCCCCGTCCCGCCCCGTCCCCCGTCCCCGGGGCCAACATGGCGGCGGCAAGGTAAGCTCCCCGCGCCGTGCCCGCCGTGCCAGCGCGCCGTGATGGCGTGCCATCTCATCCCATCCCATCCCGGCCGGACCGCCTGAAACCAGAGGGCCTCGGGCCTCGTCCTGGCCGCGGAGGCGGCGCAACCTCGAACCAGGCCACCCAGGGCACCGCCATGGCGCCGGGCTGCTCGCCAGCCTCGCCCTGATAAGGCGCACCACCATTGTCTGCCCAACGGCCAGGGCCGCGACGTGCATGCCAAACGGGGGGACCGGGTTCGACTCGACTCCCCGCGCCGCCGTCCACTTTTGTTTTGTGCCAGCCGTCAATGTTCACAGCCTGCTGCTGGCGGAGGGGCACGGCCAGCAGGGCCAGCAGGGCCAGCGGGGCGCCTCGGCGACGTCCATTTGCGCCGCGGCAATGTGCTTCCAGACATCGCCGTCCCCTGGCCACCCCCGGCCGCGGCCCGGTCGGGCCCGGGCCCCGGCAGGCCCTGGTCCGTCGCCCCGGACCATCAGCACCGGCCCGGCGGAGGGCACAGGGTCGACGGGGCGGTCCTCAACGACGTCGTCCTCGCCGTGCTCCGTGGTCCTTCTTGCCCTTTTGTCCGGCGGGCGGTCCGGCGGTCCGTTTGGCGCGTCGCCAAGCCAAAGCCACGCCCCGGCCGACCTGGCCGAGCCAAGCGGCCGAAGCAGCGCAGCGCAGCGCCCGCGGACCGACTGCCGACTGCGGACCGCGCGCCACTCGGACCGCCATTGAGATAAGCCCGCCGAGCACGGCGATTTCGACCATTTCCCGCCGTTTCAGGCCTTTTAGTTTTTATTCCTCTCTTCGAGCGGCTCGGCTCCTGGTTCGACGCGCCACGGTTTTTGCCGCGGCTCCAAGCAGTGCTGTCGTCGCTCCGTCTCGCTCGCACTCGTGGCGTTCCCGCAGGGGTGCGAGGGAGACAGAGCGACTGGTGATTAAGCTGCATACCTCGCTCCGGGATAACGCGGGCTGACGCGGCTAACGCGGGCCAACGCCGCTAGCCGATTAGCTGAATTACCCCCCGCGCCGCGCCGCCCCGCCCCGCCCCGCCCCGCCCGCCCCGCCTGCCTCGGGGTGTCTGCGAGCAACTCGCGGCGGCCGAGGCGCGGCGCCCTGCAGCGAATGGCTTCATTAAGAAAATCTGCGAGATGAGCTAGCAAACCCCTCCCCTCCCCTCCCTCTTCCAGCTTTGGCCGGGCTTCAATACCATTACTTCTGGCTTGGCGGGGGCAGCGACGCTCCGCCACGCCTTGGCGTGCCTTGGCGCGACCAGAATGCCTTTTCGGGACACAATGCGTCAGGGCCACAATTTATAGATTTCAAGCGAGACGCGAAAAAAGTGGCGCCGCGGCGCGGAGTCGAACCCGCGACCTACCTGAGCAGCGTGCTGAGGGTGTTGTGCCTGATCATGCAGCACTGCAGGATGGGCGCGAGGATGGACATCTCGTCGTGGAAGGGCTGGCCGAAGCCGCGGCCGTGGTCCAGGTGCACGGGGAACGTGTCGTTGCCGAAGACGCGGAACGTCTCGTAGTGGTGGCGGTCCATGTTGCCCATGAGGAAGTCGAACACGGCCATGTCCATGAGGTCCAGCAGCCTGCGCCCGCTGTCGTACGGGGGGATGTCCTTCACCAGGGAGCAGTAATCGGAATCTGCAACAAGGCGCCGCGTCAGAAACACCCGTCCGCGCGCCGCGGCTGAGGCAGAGGTTGAGGCGCGGCCGCCCCGTCGACTCACCCATCTCCCACTGGGCCTTCTTGCGCTTGTGGTACGAGCGCCGCCAGGGGTGTCGCCACACCTTCCTCGTGGCCATCTCCTTGGGGGGCAGGAAGGCGGCGAAGGAGCCCTCCAGCGTGTCGGGGCTGCCGCAGATGGCGTGCCCGGTGTCGCAGTAGTACGAGCACTTGCCGTGGAAGCACAGGTTGGACGACGGCGACACGAAGAACGTCTTGAGCAGCTCGCCGTCCGCCAGCTGGTACAGCTCCGTGGTCATGTTGAGCGTGCGGCCCGTCACGGGCATGGCCCGGCGGAAGCCCAGCAGCCTGCGGACGAAGGGCAAACGTCAACACGCGTCAGCACACCGCGAAACACGGGAATGAAGTCAAATGAAAGGACAGTCGTACCTGTCAAGGTGGAAGGCGGCGATCTCGGCGGTGTGCCTCTCGTAGTCCGTGAAGTAGAAGTGGTTCGGGAGGGTCTGCTGGTCTCGGGGGAACCTGACACGATCGACAGAAGAGAACAAGTGGATTAGATTCGGCGCTGGCACTGCTACTGCTGCCGCACTGTCGCCTCGTCGTCTGCAGACAGTGCCAAAACTTGCCGCTTGATGTGAGGGCGCCACCTCCTGGACACCGCTCGGCAGCATTTGTGCCCAATAATAGTCGCATCAGGTCGCACTAGACAACATTCCGAACTCAAATGGCTCCCAAATGACGTGCCTGTGCAGACCGCACGGTCGAGTGGGCCCGGCAGCGTCGGCTGGCCTCTGGCAGGCCTCGCCAGTGTATCGCTACCCGAGCGACATCGCTGGGCGACGCAGGGTAACTGGGATGCCCGCTCCCGAGCGGCCGGGTAGGGTAGGGTAGGGTAGGGTATGGGAGGTTGCCAAAATTGTGGGTCCTTTTGTGTCTTTGGGCCACAGTTTCCTTATTTTTCGACGTGTCGACCTGCGGTTTGATTCCTATGACTCGACTTCATCTCCCCTACTATCCCACACACTAACCGAGCATGCAGTTCAAGCATTTCCCTGTCAAAACAGGCTAAAACTGGGCAAAATGTAACTTCCGTGCTGTCCATTGTCCAAAAAGTCCGTGTTTCAAGGCGAAAATCTCCTGAACTATTTGTCGGAGAGCAAATCCGCGAACAGCCTTTTGTTCCGTTGGCAACCCGTTATGACACCCTTGGATAGCAATTTATTCCAGTGACTCTCACCCCCTGCTTTATTGGATGAAAAAATGTCCACCGTGTACTGGTTTTCAAACATCGTCAGCTTTAGTTTCGCGCCTCAGCGCCGAACCTGTAGCGAGAAAAGTTCGGCTCAGCGACCAGAATGAGCAGCGCGGTTTCCTCTTTCCGGCGCGGTAGGCGGATTTTCGCTGCAGGGCTCCATTCCGGCTGGCTGGACCATCAAAGGTTAAAATCCGGCATGTGTCAGGTTTGTGTGTAACATTCCGTGTCATCAATAGCAAGCGTGTTACTTGGCCTATCGATTTCGGTCCACCTGGCCATTTTGCGCTTTCACGTCTCTTAAACTTTAGGCGAGACACCTGTTCGATTTGGTGAACGGGTTGGTCCGTTTTCGCCGTTTGTTTATGATGTAACTTCCGTGCCATGGTAACTTCCGTGCCATCTCCCCATGTTAAAGTATAGGGGAAAAATCAAAGTGCGAGAAAATACTGGCCTCCTTCGGAAATGCGTTTAGAATGGCCCCTAGAATACAGGAAAAATACTAAAAAAAATTTAGAACGAGATATTTTTTTTACTTTTTTAGGAGCCAAAAGGACCCACAATTTTGGCAACTTCCCGTATCGTGCCGCCGGGGCAGGGTAGGGCAACGAGCGGCCGCGTCTCGGCGCTGGCATCGCTCGCCAGAGTTGCCCGCCCTATTGGAGGCTCTGTCCCGCGTCGCGCGCCGCGCCGGTGGAGGAAGCACGAGGCTTGCTTGGCCCGCCGTGGCATCGCGGCATCCAGGGCCCTGCAGGACGCGGTTTTGGCAGCAGCCCCTCCTCCACGACGTACACTACCCCGTCGTCCTGGCGGCTCTGGCGGCCCTAGCCCTACTGGGCTGATCCACGCGATAAGAGGCCAAGGGTCATCTGCATTTCCCTCCCGCGGCCCAGGCCCGGCCCCAGGCTCATCCCAGCGTTTTGGGGGCTCATCTGTTACCCCCGGCCCCGCCCCGCCCAGCCGCCGTCCCGGCCTCAGCGGCGGCCACGGCCCCGCGCGTGTCTCGGAGTGTCAGCTTCCCCATCTCGGGCGCCGCGATCCGGAGCCGCCGTCGTCGTACTTCGCATATTTTATCTCTTCCTGGAGCCCTTGGAGAACGGAGAGCGGCGAGGAGTGGCGAGGAGGGTCGGCGCGCGCGGTGGAAGACATGTGGCGGTGCTGGCGGCTGGAGAAGGGGCGAAGGGAACGCACTTCTCGGAAGGGACGGCCGCGCGCCGGGCCAGGCCGTCTCGCGGCAAAGTGAGTGCATCGCCCGACCATCTCAGACTTTAGAAACCTTTCACTCTTGCGCTATTTTCGAATTTCTTTCTCTTTTTTTTTGTCGGCACGCTGGAGGACTCCGCCACTATTTGCAGTGGCATGCGATTCGGCAACGGGGGCGTGAGGGCGGACCGGACGCGGCGGCGCGGCGGCGGGGCAGCACGGCGCCCTGGGGGGAAACCAATAGAAATGCAGAGAGTGCCCTGTCGCCGGGCCGGCGGGGCCGGCGGCGTTCGGCCAACACGTTCGAACGTTATCGGGGACCACGGCGGCGGCGGCGGCGCTGATACATGAATCCCGAGGGACTCTTTATTATTGGAGCCGAAATGGGGGCGAGAAAGGGAGCGCGGGGCGGGGCGGGGCGGGGCGTGCCGCGATAGGGCGTGATTCGCAAGGTGCCGGCGCCAAGGGGGCGGCCGGGGCCGGGCCGGGCTTGGGCCTCCCATTCTCTCTCTCCTTCCCTCTCCGCCACCGGAAGTCCCTGGACAAAACACTCCACACCCCGAGCGAGCACACACGCCTGGAATCGTGTGATGGTGGGCGAGCGCAGCGGAAAATCGGGGCGCCGCGCGCCGCAAACTTGGAGCAAGGCGGGGGCAGCCCGGTTTTAATCCCTTATCCCGCGAATCAGGCTCTCTCACTCACACACACGCACACTGACGCGCCCCTCCCCTTTCTAATCCAATATCTAGAGAGTCGCCCCCTCCCCCACTGCGAGATTACGGCGTTATAACCGGCGTAACAGTAACACGCTGTACCGCCGCCCCCGGCCGCCCCCGCCACGGCCATGCAGGCCATGCAGACCGAGGCGGCGCGGCAGCCGAAAAGCGAGGGGGCAATAACTCGCGCAATCATGTGTACCACGGCCCCCGAAATCACATGCGAATCATTGAGAATCACGCGAAATCAAGCAATCTGAAATCAACCAAAATCACTAAATTCGACCGAAATCAGGCAAAATGACACGAAACCAGGCAAGAAGGCAGTCCGAAATCATTTTCTTTCCGAACACAATCACACACAATCACGCTCACATCACCCTGGTGCGTCGCGAAATAAGGCGAATCAGCCATGAAATCATTGCGTTTTCCGAATCATGTGTACACGAAAATCCCGAGTTTTTGCCCCCTCGCGAAAAAGCAAACAAAAAATACCATTTCACGGAATCCTTGGCAGTCACCAAGTTGATAAGTTCTGGTTGGACAAAAATATCCGAGGCTGGATGGCGGTTATTTCGTGCTTGTTGAGTTAGTAGAGTAGCATTATGAAAACGGAAACTTTCGTCAAAGAGCAAGTTGCGAAAATTAACGTTTTAGGCAGTCTAAAAACACGCGTGCGCGCCTACCCGCCAGCAGTAAAATACTGAGAAATGAACCAATCAGAGAAAGCTATACGGATTCTTCGCGCGTGTCTGAAAACGAAAACAAAAACGAGACGACGCGAATCAAAGCTATGCGGATTGTGTTCCGGCCAAAATGGAATAATTCGCGTTTCTCGCTAATTTATGAGTCAATCAAAACATGCCGCGACGAAAAACAATCCAGTGGGGCGCACGCGAAGAGCGCCGAGAATTTCGCGACGAGCAGACGAGAGTGCCGCGCCGGTCGTTGCGAAGTCGGTGCACACGTCGCTCCGGCACAGGCCGGGGTTGGGGCGGGTTGGGGCGCCAGCCTTCGGGTGCATAAACACTTACGGGGCGGGATAAAAAACGGCAACGGTCGACGTAGCAGGCCGTTCGGACGGTCGGGGGAGAGAGAGGGGGGACAGGGGTGGAGAGAGAGAGAGAGAGAGAGAGAGAGAGAGAGAGAGAGAGAGAGAGAGAGAGAGAGAGAGAGAGAGAGAGAGAGAGAGAGAGAGAGAGAGAGAGAGAGAGACAGACAGACTAGCACCGCGTGTGTCGCGGCCACACCAGGACAAGCCCCGCGCGGGTCGGGCTTGCCGGCTTCGGGTCTTAATATTCTCCCCCAGCTGCCGCAGCTGCCATCCAGCAGCGCCCGGGCCGGCGGGGCGGGGCCCGCCCTGCAGCGCAAGGCCCGGCAAGGCCGCTGCATCTGCTGGATATCTGGAGCTGCCGGAGCTCGCGCTGATAAATGCCAGATGGTGCTCCATCCAGGGCCCGGCGGGGCGAGGCGGGGCGGGGCGAGGCGGGGCGGGGCGGGGCCGCCGCGGCGCGTCGCGAGTCGCGTAAATCAAAAGCAAGTTGGCGAGCGGCGCGAGAGAGAGGGAGAGAGGGAGAGAGGCAGGATGCAGGGCGCGGCAGTAGGTTGGTGGGCACGCCAAGCCGCGAGATGGCGCTGCCACTGCGATGCCGACACACCCGGAGACGACACCGCGCCTCTGCAGTGGCGCTGCTCACAGCGCTCACGGCCCGGACGGCCCGGAAGCCAAACAAACAAGTTCCCCGCAATCGAGATCTCGACGGCGTCACGTCAACGAGTGTCGCGCGGAATCCACTATCCGAGACAAATCGGCGAACTAACTGCTGCAGTCAGCGAGCACGGCGAGCCAGCGCCGCAAAGTCGTATCCCAGTACAGCGGACAGCCAAGGACGCGGACTCGGAACCCCCGCGAGATCTCGAACGACTCGGGTCGACTCGCGGCCGCGCGACACGGCACGACGCAGAGCGCGCAGAGCGACGCGTTGGCAAGCCCATTCCACTTAGCGCTCAATTTGAGCCGGCGTCGTGGCTCTCGTGCCGCCCCGCCCCGCCCCGCCATCCGAAAAGTAATTAAGCTGACGACTTTTTGCTTTGACACATCGCGGCGCCGGGCAACGCCGAGCTCGCAGCGCGCTCAGTCACCCAGACCACCGCGTCGCTCCCAACTATCCGGCACGGCACGGCACGGCACAGCACGCCACGGCACGCCACGACGTGCACGGTGGCGAATAAGGACCCCCCGCCGCGTCACGGCCGCCGCCGAGCGTCTCCCTCGCACTCACGGTACGGTCCAGGACGGTCCCGGTGCGGGCACCGCGGTGTGAGGGAGACAGAGCGACCAAGTTGGGAGT